AAAAAAAAAGAGGGTTTTTTTTTTTTTTTTTTTTTTTTTTTTTTTTTTTTTGCTATGAACCTGCTTTTAATTTTTTTTTTCTTTACCCCTTTATGCGTGATTGTCTTCTGGTTGGCACAGCCAATATAAACACCTATTTTGAATTATTTAAATTCAGTGGACTTTCTTTTATTATGCAATATTTATTACAGATAGGATGATTTTGTACATTTCTTCCCGTCAGATCCACTACAATGAGCAAGATGTCACATTGCCACAGAAATGATTATTTTATGTAAAAAAAAAAAAAAAGGTAATAAAAGGGGGAGTAGTGCTGGTACAAGTGGACGATACAAAATGCAGTGCTACAAAATAAATAATACATTGTATCTTATGAATTACTGCTGTGGGCTCTTTCCTCTCTTGTAGGGTGATTGGGCAATTCGATCTTTTGTGGGATAGACCATAAAACATTGTGGGGATTGAATGTCATATGTGCTAAGGTTTTCCTAAGTTCATTGTTTAGTTGTTTTCATGGACTGCAAAATTCTGAAGCGGATTGGGCCATCTAGTACACGGAATGGCAAACTCTACGGGACGAGACCAATCCTTCCTGCTACTGAGTGAGAAGATAATTCATAATACATGCAAAGTTTCTGTTCAGGAGTCACAAGATGCATACCAGGTATGTATATCAGTGTGCGATATGTAGATGTGTCTTCAGCTATCGTTCTTGGAGACATCTGCTTGCTGTTCTCCTTTAATATTAGATTATCAGGTTTATGAATGTAGCTATAGAGTGCTTTCAAGGTCTAGAACCGTAGGCATTGATGTGGCACTTGCTCTGTCTCCAAAGACTCACTCGGTGAGAAGGCTGATTGGGTTGAGTACCAGGAGGTACCTTAAAATCCCTGCTCCCTGTCTGTTCCTATCATGCTGAAGGATTGAGCTCTGGTGTCATCCTACTGGGTGGAGCGTCCCACGCTCTTGCTCTTTCTTAACATTTACCATAGAGGAAGAATCTTCCTTCTGCTACACTGGCTTTTCCGAGAGCCATGTGAAACTATGATCTTTGTTCTGTTCCTGGTGCCTGCCTTCAGTGACTTTATTGCCTCCAGCTGTCTGACCATTCACCTGCCTCAAGCAGTTGGGTTTGTGGGTATCTGAGGCCTTGCTTCATACTGAGTTTAGTTGCTTAACAGAAAAGCAGTTGCAACATGTCTGATTCTGGACACTGGTGGAGGAGCAGTTCCACTGTACCAAGCGACCTCAGCTCACACTCTACTAATGGCTTGCGTGCTGCTTGCAATGCTTGCGCCCACTGCTCTTTCCCACCATTTAGCATTGAGCAAACATTTTCCCGTTTCTGCTTACAATAGCCATGTTGAACTCTCATCCTCGGTCCTCTGCCCACCTACATTAACCTGGTCATCTTCGGCTGTCTGACTCTACACGTACCTGAGGCTACATTGCCTGCCAGGCTATTTTGTAACATGTCTGATTCTAGACACACCTTGACCAGTCCTGCTGTGCCGGTTGCCTCCAGCTTACACTCCACTCGCTGCTCTGGTGCCTGCAACGCACCCACTGATGTGTTCAACACCTGCGGTCTGGAATTTTGCGCTCTGTTAAGAGTCTATACTATCTTCGGAGTGCTCCCTGGCTTCATCAGATGTGGCTGCTTCCTCTGCTCTGTCCATGGAGGATTTCACTGGGTCAAATCACATAGATGTTTGCTGACTAGCGGCAGAGACCTCAAGCGCGGTTTCATGCCTCGCCTGCAGAATCTCTGATCTACCTACGAACACTGAGCCTTTAGCCTCTGAAACTCTTGTCTGGCACGAAGTCTCTTCAGTCCTTGACAGACAAACCTGTATCTAAGGTATTGTAGTCTTCTCCCATTGCTTTTAAACTATAAGACCTTTTTGGTTTTGATTCGGTACACACCACGACAAAACTTGAGGATCAGCATGTAGCCTCTACCAGCACTGTCCCTAATGTAGGATCCTTAAAGCTCTTAAGAATGCCAGACCTTTCCCATGCACCCACTGTTCTCGGTCTTCCTTTATGGAGACATCTTGAACAGATGTTTTATCTACCCAAGTGTCTATCAGTCCTGTAATCGTTTGAGGAGGATTTTAAGGGTGGGCTTGATCTGGCAGCATCCGTTCTGATCTGCCTACAATCCCACTGGAGGATGCACTCGTCTTTATGGACTGCACCAGCAAGCATTTTTTGGGGGTCCCTTTCTAGAGCTTTGTCTAAGATTATTAGAAGGGATCGGATCACTTATGACCATAAAACTGCTATTAATAGAACTTGTACAAAGCACATCGTGATTCAGGTATGCCTAGGCCAGCAGCAATACAGTAAAGGCTGGAAATGCATGATTGATGACAAAATGGCCCATTTCTCTTTTCCTACACTCAATTTCTGTACAGTACTTTTTGTCTGGAGATTCCATGTCAGAACTCTAGTTCATTTTCCAGTTATATCAAGCCAGTTGTCCCATCTATTTTACCAGTAACATTTGGATGTAAATGTTCTCCTATATGTACACAAAGTAAAATACATAGAAAGTCTATCTAATTTTGCTGTTCAAAATGTGGTTATTTATTTTGTGGCTAACGTTTGTGCTTGTGTCAGATGTGAGGTCACTTGGCCGACCACCTTACTATGCGTATAACCTATAACAGCAGGATTTAACATAGTCTCATAGCTAATAGAGATGTAGGTATATGACCAAATATTTAGTTTCTTGTCTAAGTTCAATTGTAACTGGTTCTCTGTAATGTTGGCAGTAGTTTCCTGACTTAAAGTGACATTAAACCCTCAGATTTTTTAACATAAACCAATACTGTAATGTGTGCCTTACTGTAATCCATGGTAGTTTCCCTTCTCTTTGCTGCTCTTCCTTTAAATCCTCATGTCTTCTCATGCTTGGGGGGAACTTCCCTTTTCAGCTCAGGGCCTCTTCCTGTAGTGCTGGCTCAGGTTACAAGCCCATACAAACGGATACACAGACACCGTGTATCCAGTCCTGAGACAAGGCAGCCTGCTGCAAAACAGAAGTTCTGCCCAGCATGAGAACAGATACAGATTTAAAAGGAAGAGCAGCAAAGAGAAGGGAAACAACCATGGATTACAATAAGGCGCACATTACACTATTGTTTTATGTTAAAAAATCTGAGGGTTTAAGGTCCCCACACACCTTACGATCGTACGATAATCGTGGGAAATCCCGCGATTGTACGATTATCGTAAGGTGTGTGTGGAAGCCGTGCGACCTCTACTACTGTAAGGTAGTAGGTAGGTAAACTTACGAACATGTTTGAAAACCCACCGAGCATCGTACGATGTTCGGCGGGTGTGTAGCATGTTCGTAAGATAAAAGCCGGACAGGCCGGTGTGCGCCTGTGCACACTGCCCGTTCGGCATTGCGGTCATCAGAAGCCCGATCTGCATGTCCAAGATAGGCAGATCGTATGTTTTTTTAAGTACCTTACAACCATCGCAAGACAAAAGTCTTGCGATGGTTGTAAGGTGTGTGCCCAGCATTAGTTCTTTTTTTCTTCACACAGCAAACCTTGTAATATTTAGAGATGGAGACAGCTTGAGATTGCTTGTTTGTATTGAATCCCATTTCATTCAATAGCTCAGCTCTGTGTACAGTCACAAACCAATTTGCTGACTCCCATGCGGCATCCTACATTGATGAACCCATGTGAATTATGGGAAATTGTGTCCTAAGTATTTTAGTGGAAGAAATGATACCAATCAGGTCAGTAGTTAAATGTCATAATTTATTGATCAGAATTACATTTAGTATCACTAGTGGTGACAAAACAAAAATGTTTACAGCATAATGAATTGAAATTTACAAACACAGAACCCAAAACATATTTCATCTGCAGGAGTGTTCTTTGTAGGTATCTCAAGATAGAAACATGCTATGTACAAGATGAGCTGATGAGCAAGAAAGGCTGTAAAACCCTGGAAAGCATAAATAAGAAACCCCTCCTATCACAATGCTAGGAAATATCGGAGGTCACAGACCCCCATGGCATAAGATCAGAGGGGACCTGTAAAAAGGAGACTTGGTAGATGATGGGAGAAATGTTCTTTCCTGATACTTCTGGTCTCCTTGGGTTAGCTCCGCCCCATGACCCCATAGGGCATAGGACAACTCCCAAGTAGCCAATCATCAACCAATCAGATTCACCCAATTTATGCAATAAACATGAAAATAAATCTGGTAGAGTTCTTCCTAATGGAGCTTTTTTTTTTGTTTTTAAGTAACCAACCACAATACATATGTGTAAATGTTGCAAGTCAAAAATAAAATGAATGTGTTACGTTTTTTTCCCTTTCTGTGACTGAACTCTAGAAGGCTGTTGGCTGCTTTGTTATGTCAATCTATGTGAATCAGGAACGTCAGCTAAAATGGTTTCTGTGCTATTTTATGGGCTCAAGCCAGAATTGTCTTGTCTGCAACAATGGTGCCTGTGACCTATAGGAAAACAGATCCTGTATTTTTTAAAGGGAACCTGTCAG